GTTAAGGCAGTGCTAGATAATAATGGTTGGCACACAAAATATTGACACTTTAGGCACAATTTGGACATGTTCACTGTGGGGTGTACTCACTTATGTTGCCAGCTGTTTAGATGTTGATGGCTGTGTTTTGAGTAATTTTCAGAGGAAGGTAAATCTATACTACTATACAAGCTGTACACTGACTACTTTAAGTTATATCAAAGTGTCATTTCTATAGTGTTGTCCCATGAAAAGATATAATGAAATATTTGCAAAAATGGGAGGGGTGTACTCACTTATGTGAGATACTGTAAATGTATAATATACAGTACGAAATGAAGAACTTGTAACAGTGTTTGTCGTATAGTATCCCCAGTGTAAATTTGTTTTCTCTTTTTTAATTTTTTTTCCTTTTCATTTATTTATTTATTTATTCCACCTATCCATCCATCCAACCATCCATCCATCCATCTTCTAACCGCTTCACCCTCTTGAGGGTCGCGGGGGGGCTGGAGCCTATCCCAGCTGACACTGGGCGAGAGGCAGGATACATCCTGGACAGGTCGATTTATTTATTCTATTTTTTTAATTTATTGTTGCTGTTTGTGGTCCTATTTATTTATTTTTGTACACGCGTGTGCAAGTGTGTGTGCTGTAATTTTTGAACTGTTTTAACACAGCTTGTCATCATATATGTATATATTTTAAAATAATTGCAGGAATTTTGTAAACATTCACACATATTGTATTCTGTATGTTCTTTTTTGTATAATGTTGAAAACTTAGTAAACAGATTGTTGAAAAGACACTATTGATACTGTCACTATTTTAAACTCAGATTTGGTAATGGATTTTTTTTTCTTCTAACAATAGCATTCAGTTGCACATAATGCTTCCAAGGACTATCGGAAATGTGGAAATCCAACAATAATTGGATTTATTTTATGTGGTAAAATAAATACAAATTACAACCATTTAAATTTGTATGCCCCCCCCCCCCAAAAAAAAAAAAACATAAGTCCCTGCCCAGTGCTTAAAAAATATATTTGATATGCCTGCCCCTTTTATTGAACCACCCCTCCCCCCATACGTAACAAACAGTCCCTAAACAGGCATAATAGCCAATAATGGATTTTCAGGATGGAAGGGTTCATCTCAAAGCTAGTTTAAAGTACTACTGGGAAAATTGGTTTAACATCACATTGCATTTGTATTGCAATGACTTCATAACTTAATAAAAAGTAGTAAAAAGTAGTTTAATATAGATCTCCCCCTGAAATGTAGTGATGTTGAAGTATTAAATAACATAAAATGGAAATACCGAAGTAAAGTACAAGTACCTCAAACTGTATTTAAGTACGGTACTTCAAGGAAACACACTTTGTGTCTTTCCACCACAGGAGGTAGTGACTGATCAAAATTATAAGTGAATTTAAGTGCTTTATGGGGATTCTGCTGCTAAATATGCCACAATCTGTAGGTGCATTATTAGTGAGAAGTTTCAACATCTCCAACATCAGACACAAACATGTTGTTATTCAGTAACCTGGCACCATCTTCCTCCTATCGTACTCACTCTTCTAGGTATCCACAGGTTACCCTAAGCCCTCTAAAAACATTCACCTTCATTTTCCCACTGTTCCAGAGAGTGTTTGTCACTCTTCCTCACGCTGCCGATGGACTCTGGAGGGACCGGCTCTATGTGTTGATCCAGGCTGTCAGACGGGGAAGCAGCAGCCCCCGCAGCCCCTTCACAGTGCTCCTTCAGTCCCTTAAGGTCCAGCTGAGACAGCTCCTGAAGCAAAGTGTCTCTCTCCACCTCACACAGCTCCGGCCAGAACTGCAGGACGTGAGACTGTCCTGCACTCTCTAAACTCTGCTTCACCTGCTCCAAAGAAAGCATTTTGTGTCTCGGTAACAACGCAAACCGTGGAGTGGGAAAGTATAACACTCAGACATCCAGCTTCCTCCTGTAAGCAGGATCCAGGAGCTGAGTGTTGGTTAGTCTTTGTAGGAAGTGACAGCGTGTTCTGAACAACTCGTGACTGCAGCTCTCGGACCCATATGCGGATCCTGCCTGTGGTCAAAAACTCACATAGAACAGGATACACTGACTGCTGCGGCTTAGTGAAAGGCTTCTTTATGCTGCTGCAGGTTTCCAGGGGCGGACAAACATGTTGGAAATAGCTTTCTGCAGACAGACGTGAGACGACTTCCTGTCCGTCAGCAGCCAGCCACGAGACCAGCGGCTGTAAGAGTGAGGAAAAACTGAGCTGACTCAGCGTCTCATCAGCTGACTATGCCGACAGTTACTGTACTGTCTCTTTATTTTTACACCGTCCATCTAAACGTGTAGCCTACTAATACTCTGCGTCTTACATGAGATATACCAACATGATTTTTTACAGTTTTGAGCTGCCCAGGGACCGTCCCCAAACGGCACAATAACATTTATTGTTGGTACTGAATAGAATGTATGTTTAACTTGATATATAATCAATAAATAATTAAAATTAAACGTTTTTTCCACGTGCACTACACCTACCACAAAATTTGACATCAGATGAGGAAAGTAACAAAGTATTCTTTTTAAAGTGTTTATTTGTACTTTAGGGGAGACTGGGTATGGTTCTAACAATGGGATGTTTAAAACATTACCACTTTCACCAGGTAGGGATGGCTTGGGTCATGTAGTCAGGCCCCCAAAAAAGCCTCTCATGTTGTCTTCACACCAAACACAATGCAATTTTTGTGTTGCGTTACTCGTGCGAATTTGAACGTTAGAATATTTTGTGTTGACTCCGGTCATAGCATACACATGAATGAATTTGCGTGAAATCACTGAATCAATGAATGAACTTCTGCCGGTATGTCCTCGGCATCGTACGTCCCAGGGAGACTCTAAATGCTGATTGGCTATCATGGCGCAAGACGGTCGCTGAAGTTTAGATTTTCCAACTCTCGCGAAAAAGCGTATGCTGTGAAATTGCGCTACTCCCATAATTTGTGCCACTTAATTCACATATTTTGCATAATTTGCGTTGCGTCCATTGTGCCGCCCCGCGGGAATTTGTGTCTGTTTGTATCTTTACATTGATTTTACATGGAATTCACTTGTGCAAATTGTTTTATTCACGCCTAGTGTGAACACAATTTCATACTTGCTTTCAATTTCTCCCAGTGGCCACTCATGGTATTGCAGCGAAAAAAATCACCTGTAACCTAAAAAGGATTTTTCCTATAGACCACCATTTTAAAAGAGATGTCTGTAAAACTGTTCACAGGACACCTCCAACTGCAAACATGGTCAATCATGAATCTTTGTATTCTGAATTTTTGATCCATGGAGGTTTTATATCTGTAGAACTTTCCTACATGCTGAGAAAAGTGATTTAAAAATCTGTCATGTCATGTAGTACATTTATTGTACGATCACTTCCTTCCTTGTTTCTGAAATGTCATGTCTGAGTGGTGTGTGTGTATGTGTGTGTGTGTGTATGTGTGTGTATACAGTATA